CTTTCGGATGTCGTTAGCCGTAGGTCATTCAGTTTGTCTTTAAAGTCGAATAAAGTCACCTCTACTCCCTCTTTTTGCTGCCTCCCTCTCTGTTCTCGTCTGTCTATCTCTCTCTCACTCGCTCTTGAGGCAACCCACACTGCGCGGCTGCGACTGCGCAAATGACTTTGAGTTCGACTCCAACTTGGAGCTTAGCTATTGTTGTTGTTGCTTTCATTTAAAGTCTAATCAAAACATTTGAAGTTACTTAAGAAACCTACGCAGCTTAAGTTGCGTTTCTTGTTTCGAATTCTTAGCTTGTCGCAGCTTTGTCTTTGTTTGTTTGAATTTGTTCTTTTCTTACACACAGACGGAGGCAAAATAAATTGTAAATTCAGTTTCTGCGACATTTCTACAAAAAGCGGTCAGTCAGCGACAAGTTTTTGTTGTTGCTGCCGCTGATTTGCAGTTCTTTAGTTCTTGTGTTGTGTTTCTTTGCCCTTTCAAATGATATAGGGGCCCTAGAAGGTTAACATGTGTGTGTGTGTGTGCGTGGAAGTTTGATCTACTTAGGGCCAGACGAAAAAAAACAAAAACCTTATTTCTTTTCATTTTTTTTTTATGTTTCTTTTGTTGGTGTTAAGCCACTAACTAAATGCTCTGGGTGAGTCAGTTTGTGAACTTTAGTTTTGGCCCGATGCCAGTGAATTTCCTTACTCGCTCGCTGGTAGCCTCCTACTCTGCTGGTCCCCTCGCAGTGCTCAGCTATTCCAAGGTCGTCGTCCTCCCACACACGCCACCCACTCCACCACACTCCAATACAGTCGTCAGGCGACATCGCCGTCAGTCCCCAACACCATCTGACTAATATATAAGTACATATCAGTATGAGCGCAAAGTTTATACAGTGGTTCCGCAGTGTTAGAAATGTTATACTTCATACTTCATATACTCCACGAGGTAAATGGTACAAGTTAATGGAAAGAAAAGATTAAAAATTCATCCAAAGAAATCATAAATTCATTTTAAAAATAGATAAATAATGTTGAAAATAGAAATTAATTTAAACATATATTCAAATCACCAAATCAAAAACACATTTTAGCATAAAGCTCATGTTCAAATCCTTAAAATGGATAATACATTCAGGCTGATAAACTCATTTATTCTTTATTTCTACCCAGTAAATAAAATATAGGTATAATAATTAATAAGCCGTTGTTTAAGGTTATTTTGTGGAGTTTAAACTATAATATATGTATGCAAATTTATAGTTTTTATTTTCCAAATTTGAAACCACTGTCTCATTCACCATATTCTGTGCTAAAACTTATTTGCATTCTTTGTTTTTTTGATTTTTAACTGCAAAATGGCGACACCGGCTCTCCTTTTGTTTGCCGTCTATTGATTTAGCCGTAAATGACGAAACGGAACGAAGACAAAGCGTCAAAAAGAAATCGCCGCCGCCAAGTGCATTTAACCAAATGAGCGGGTAAAATAAGGAGAAATAGGGATAGTGCTGACATTTATGGCAACGACGCCTGACGCCCGATGATGGAATGAATATAGGATGGAATGCAATGGGGCCGCCGATGGGTGGATGACAATGCATCAGTGCAACAACAGACAAAGGAACCCAAAGGGAACGGCCACAAAAGGAGCCCTACATTCACATGGATATACCACACATACATACATACATACATACATACATATATGTATGCAAAAGAGGACGAAAAAGGGGGAAACTTTGGGAGAGGCAACTCCATTCGAGTGCTGTGTTACCATTGTTGCCTCAAATGGCTGAAAATGTATAGATAATAACTTGTGAAAATAACTTTTGCACTTGAACAAGATTTGAAATGTTGTTGTTGAATGGGGAGCACTCACAGTACAGTCGGGCCAACCACCAGAGGAGAGCTGCATCCATTTCATATATAGAGACGGGCACTGTCAAAATCATGGTCCATGGTCCACATTCGACACTGAAATTTCTGACAGATGCGAGTGCATCAAGTTCAGATGGTGTCGAGAGTGTTCGCCGATGGTGGATGGAGATGGAGATGGAAATGGAGATGGAGCTGGCTGGCAAAGGGGTGACTATGGGGAGTGGGAGTGTGAGCTGCAGTGCCATTGAATGCTGAATGTTGTTGCCTCAAAAAGAAATCGTTTCGATTATCGCTTCAAGTGTCATCGAACGTTTGGGTGGCATAAAAGGAAAATATGGGGAATGAGTTGTTCGGGAGAACTGTCTTGGGGGTACACTGTAAAATTTCAATTTAAAAGTGAAAAGTGACGAATTTCCTTCAATAGCTTAATCAATTTTTAATTTTGTTTGTTTCTAATCTTTTTCTAGTGCTTTAATCAAGCCGAATTACAGCAAAAAACCAGAGGAGTCTCTCTTGATGCAATAGATACTTGATATCTTGTTTCATTTACACTTGAAAACCCCTTATATCTGGCATTGTTTTTCTATTGGGTTCGTCGTATATAGATATACCACCCCCCACCCAATTTTAACGTTGTGAAACTCCATCGCATGACCCAAACCTCTCGTGGGGTTTGTAATTGTTAATTGAAAAAGTCAACAGCACCAGCAGCAGCAGCAGCAGCAACAAAAAGATTGACTTCGTTACTTTTATAACATATTTTCCATACTCACCGTTGGCTAAGCCAAAGATATAAGCTTTTGTTACTCTTATCACTTCACACTCTCAATCACTTTTACTGCCATTCGGCAATTCACACTTTATTTTTGTCAAGAGTAGCGGAATTGTAAAGGAAAAATATAAAATAAAAAAATACCTTAAGCTGAAGGAAATTCATTAGTTCACTTGTTGCTTGGCAGCAAGTTTACAGAATTAACGAAAAAAACAGCAACATAATGAAATTGAGAGCGTGTAATGACAATCGAGTCGCAAAGGTGTAAGGTTATAATTGAATAAATACAATCAGTCGTAATAAAACTAGTCTGTAGAAGAAAAAGTTATCTTTGGGAACCATGATTCCGCAACCAATAACCCTAGACTAACCCTTTAAAGATAGCAAATTTACAGTTGAATTGACAACTTGCAGCAATGGCTGATAATAAATATATATGGGAACTCAATTGCTCTATTGCCTAAGACCTGGGAACTTCGGCAAGATAAGAACAGAGAAGTGTTTTGAAAACAACATAGTGAATTGTGGAAAATACGGGGGAGTTTTAGTAACAGTTTCGAATGTGAAAATCAACTATGACCAAAAAACAGAAAAACAAAAAAAAAAAGCAGTATAGAGACATTCAATTATCGGATTTGGCGATTGGAGAAGATCGGATCTCATTGGATTGGAATGGAATGGGACAGGCCTTATATGCGAATCGATGCCGACGACGCATCCTATGCAAAATGTGTGTGTGTTATTTATACATTTATTCGCTGTCTTTGGATGCGGATTTTTTAATTAAATTCACTTTCAAAAATACCGCTAATCATTCGAACAAAAGGCTAGCCGAGCATTTGCATATTTGTTTGTCTCGAAAGTTTGCGACTTTGCGTTTTCGTAGCGTCTTTTCGGTCATTCTGCAGGCCCAGGTCAGCAGGGGGCGTGGCATATGAATAGATTGATCGATCTAGGCAAAAAGATTTTCGCAAGTATGGAAAGTGAAATCCAGGGGATGAGATGCGGATTTGCCCGAACGGCACCCCCCAAGGTTTGCAGTATTGTCGATCGTCAATGGCCAGCAAATTAGCCAACACACATGGGTTTTTGTACTTGTCCGAGTCCCAAATCGCAATCGGATTCCGAATCCGAATCCGCCTGATCACCAAAGAGAAAAAAACACGTAAGTGGCCAAATCGGTGCGCCTTAATTAAGACCAGCGGTTACGTAAGCACTTAATACAGCTCCGGGGATCAACGGATCCAATAGCCATGCGAATTAAACACACAAAACATTTAAAACACACAACGAATGCCGAACAGCGGAATGCCAATGCGAATGGGCTTCGATTTTTTAATGCTTTGTTCCCACTCTTTCACCCATTGCGTATTATTATTACCCCGATCGGTCCTACAAGACTTTGGCCCTTGGCCTAATAATTATGAAGCAGGTGTGGCAAAGGAGCGGATTTCATTCTGCTTCGGCATAAGAATTTTTAATTAGATGTGGTCTCTATTTTTGCCAATGTCATATGGTGACATTCCTAGTGACAAGTGCACAAATTCATTGAATTTAAATTTCTTAAAAGACCATAGGTGTTTTTGTTTTATCCTGAGATATATTCGAGAAGGGCTTAATCCCATCGGAGGATTTATGAGGGGCGGAGGCGTGAGTGAAACAGCAACCTGTTCTGATGGCCCAAGGTCAGATCCTGTTGCGGCATCCTTATGCAACGATAATTCGATAAACGCTCTTGATAAGCCATAAGTTTTATGACTGGCCTTGTCTGGCGATATCCAGTTAGCAGCTGGCACCTGGTGGTTGGCCATCCTCTTCGGAATTAATCTCCTTCTCGCCGAAGTTCACAGTTCAGTCAGACTCACCGCTAATGAGTCGCTGCAAATCGACCTGAAAATAATGGAGGGGAAACGAGGAGGACTTGGGTGACGGCATTAACCTGGCGCCCAATACCAACTTGATTTCTTTTTGTAGAGGTAGAGGTGCCGACTCTTGTTGCTGCTGCTAGTTTTGTCAGAGGCTTTTTCAAGTAACCGACTTTTATGTTTTATTTATTGATTTTATTTGTATAACTCTTTCAGTTGCTCGTTGTCGACGACGCGGTTTTTTGTTGCCGCTGCTGCGGTTTTCAGTACCATAATTATGTCAGCTGCAGTGGCACAATCATAAATTTACGCCGTTTTGGTATAACAATTTTTACAATTTATTATCCACTTGCTGGCAATCTGATTGGTTATCATCAATCACCAAAGTTTCAGTTAAGGGGTTAGGGAAATACATATTGCTTTTTCACAACATAAATCGCTGAAATGACTGAAAAATATTTAAAATTGTAATTTATGTACATTTGTTTCTTGCAGTTTACAATCGAACCAAACCGAAACACTAATCCGAACCAGACGCGATGCACAGCAGACAAAATCGCAACGAAAACCCGACGACAAACTACTCCTAAGGAAGCCCGAAAATCCAAAAAACAAAACAAATAATAAATAGATATATAAATAATAGTAATACAAATAACAGAAAATCAAAACTGAAAGGTAAGGGAAGTAAATCGATTTTGAGGGAAATTCACAAAAAACTCCAGGATGGCCATGTTGGAGGCAAGGCCATATAGGCCATTCAAATCCAGCGAAGAGTATCTGGAGGCGATGAAGGAGGATCTGGCCGAATGGCTGAGCACACTTTATCCGGAACTAAGCATCAATGCAGAGAATTTCATGGATCGCTTGGACACGGGCGTTGCATTGTGCAAGGTAAGCCTTAAAATCGTTAAAAGAAGGAAAAAAAAAAACAATCCACACACTTTCCCACAATTCCACCCACACACTCTCGACACTCTCCAAGTGCTAAGAGCTCGACAGATTTCCATTTCATCTTTTATGCCTCGGCTAAAAAGCTTCTTACCTGGCCAACGGCACTTTGCCGGGGAAAAAACCGGGTCACCGGGGGTTCATTGAGCCAGGTTAGTTGCTCAACCGAAAGCATTTGCGAGAAGTTCATAATTTAAATGAAGCACAGCCCAAGGAGCAGGGATAATGAGGCAAGAGGAACAAAAGGATTTCATTAATGAGTTGGCTGGATATTAAGCTACTGCATTTAAAAACTGTTAATCAACCCAAGAGCGTGGCCAATTACTAGTTTAGCATAATTCTAAAAGCTTGTATAAAAAAAAGGATGGAAAAGCTAAGCATAGCTAACTAAGCAGCCACAAATATTTGTTAATATATATTTTTTTAATTTAATTAGATTGCTTTCTATAAAATCATGTAAGAACACAAAAATTCATTTTTCAACATATTCACATAACATTATTCCATTTTTCTATATATGTATATTTTATTTTTATTATATTTATATATTTATATATTTATTTTTTTCGCTGCTATCTTACTTGTTTTCTCAAAAATTATGGTATATGGTATGGTCTTTTCTTTGATCCGTAATTCTATTCGCTTGGCTCGCTTTGGTTTGGCTTTTTGGTTTTTTGTTTTCTGTTTTCTGTTTTCTGTTTTCTGTTTTCTGTGTTCAGTTTTGGTTTGGCTTGGTTTGGTTTGGTTGGCACATGCCATAACCACAGCTCCCTGCTCCCTGCTCCCTGCCCCCTCGCTGCCTTTCGGCCCTCCTTGCTTGTTGGTGCTGAGTGGCGCCAGTAGCACCCGACATCGTCACGCTGGAGGCCAATAGCAAGACCTCAACCCGTAGACAATTTGTCTTTACTTGTGTTGTTGCCCCGATGTTGCAGTTGCTGTTGCAGTTGCAGTTGTGTCTTGCGTTTTTTTTTTCTCTTTCTGTTGTTTTTTGTGTTTTGCGGATTCGTATCGGCAAAGAAATCGCCTTGCCCCCTTTGGGGGACTCCTGCTGCGGCGATCTCTACACGTTTCTCTCGAGTGTGTGGACTATTTTGTATTTTTTTTGTAGCAAGAACAATCCTAAGAATCCATACATCGTTGGTTGTTACTGTTCATATAACAGTCAATAAATCCAATCAGGTAATTAGTACTCTCTATTTTATTTACACTATTTAGAGGAGAAATATATTTCAAATCCTTGCCAATGACCGCATAAAGGGATTTTAGAGCTAGTAAGTAGAGTACGAAGTTAATCGACGCGGTTTTAAGTGCAGATTATCCACTCCACTAACCACTGTAGCCACACACAGCGGTCCCGGCTGCCACAGCCTCACCTGCACACACACACACACCTTGCCTCAGATCCCTGGGTCTGGGATATACGATTCCCCTTCTAGTCCCCAGTGGACCCGATGGACCCGATGGACCCGTAGAAAACTCCACCCCGAGGCGGGTGCTCGATATGGTGATGGATATGCGTGCAGCATAATCATGAAGTTGCTTTGATCTTCTGTCTGCGCTGTCTCGAAATAAATGAAATGACTCAGAGACAGGGGGCATAAATTTTGCACCAGCAAAAGATCGGGCCAACACTGGGGGGGGGAACTGCCGGAAATGTCATAAGCATAAATATAATTTTTGATAATTGTGTGTGTCGCGAAGCGTTAATGGAACTTTAATTGAAACTCCGCTGGAAAGAGAAGGGGTCTTTCGGATTCGGGTTCGGTCTTAAAGCAAAGCAAATCTCTCTAAATGGCCAGCAATTCTGAAGGCGATGCAGTGCAATGTGATGTCTTCATCGTTCCAACAACGATCGTAATTACGACATGATGGCCACTTTGAACGAAGGGTGGTCTGAAAAACGAGGAAGAGGGGTCCACGAATTGCGGGGCCAATTAGCCAAAGGAGATCGTTAGCTGTCTGACGATCATTAGCGAATTGTCTTTACGATCTGTACAGGCAATTGCTTGCCAATTTATCTAGTTAATTATACGATTTTCTATAGTTAGAACTTCTTGCTGCTTATGCATGGACTTTATTTTTTAATGTTTTGTTTTTTGTTTCTTGTTTTTTGAGTACACCCCTTCGGTAATCCACATGCAGCAACTTTGTTGCCGAGTGATTTCCGCTGCTTTTTTTTATTTTATATTGGGCATTTTGTTGCTTTTCGTCGTCGGCTAATTGAATTTGATAAAAAGCCAACAAATGCGTTTAATTGACCAAACATTGAGGCACTCACACAGCCGCCAATTATACGTAGATAACCCAACGGGGGCAGATAAAGCCAGCTCTCTTTTTCGGCATTTCGGTTGAGTAAGAGAACTCTGCACTTCCGCAAGCGGAGCTCAAGTCCGTATCCGTATCTCCATTCGGAACTAGGACGGCATCGAATCGAAAAATGTGGCATATTTTCAACCGCACAAGCTTCCCTTAATTTGGACTAAAAACGGGAAATTAAACCAAAAAACAAATGTTTTCGAAAAAGCCATCATTTAAACAACTTCTTTTATGAATTCTGGGTTAACCCAATACATGATTATCGATTTCAATGGCCACGCAGCTCTTTGATTGCGAGGGGGAATGAAAATCGTAAGGTAATGACGAATGGGGGCAGCGATTGCACGTTCCCGAAGAAAGTTGTGCATCCAGAGCAAAAACGACGTGACGTTATGCAAGTGAGGAGGAGCATGGCAGCAATGCACAGCAAACCCATAAATTTTTCAAACATTTGAGACTTACAAAGCTCAAAGGAATTCCGTTGCGCTTTAAATTTGTCACGATAAACGTTCTAAAACATTTGATTGGTTCTCACATAATACATGTGAAAAAGTATACGTAAAAAACATTTAAAGTTTGGTAAGAAATTTATTTCATACGGTAAGACCCAGGAAAAGTGGAAAAATCCAGCCAGGTTTGGAATCGAATCACTTGGCTACTGTCACCGATTTGCTGACATATATGGGTCAATATTATCTATCTCGACCCCCTATCCCGTCCCGTTTGATCACCGGTGTTATTTAGTTGTTTGCGCCAAAAGCAAATGGAAATGAATCAAAATTCATTAGAGGTGAATTTATTGTGCTGGCCATTTGATTTCAGCTTCAGCCCAGATTAAATATCTGGCCAATCGATCGGCTGGGCCGTTCGTTCGCTGGCCCGCGAGTCGAGTGTAAAGGGGTTGTATATCGCGCGGCAATATCACCGACAGATATCACAGGTGGCTTGACTTGCAGCTGAGTTAAAAAAAAAAAATCAAATATAAGAAGAAAAAAAGATCAACAAAAAGGGGGCGGTAGGCCGTGTCTAATCCGATTTTGACTTTATTAACGGTGCAATTTGTACCGACAACTGCCAGACGGGAACCAACTGGCAGCCCCGAAACCCCTAGCTCTTTTTACTCCGAACTCCCGGAGCCTGCGAGCCAAAGACCCCAAGCGATTATTATTTATGGCCGCGAGTGTTAACCACACACTCTCCGCCCCCCCACAAATTGTATGCTAATCGCTTGGACCCCGAATACATTGGCAGCTGCCCCAAGTGGAACTGGACATGGGACATGGCTATGTACATGGAACCCGGGGACCTGGAACACTCGATTGTTTTCCTTTCGGTTACCATGAGTGTGCCTGATTTATGGAGTGTCGCTGACTAATTTGAGATCTTTCGCGGGGCGTGAGTTGCAGTTGTGTTGCGTTGAGTTGAGTTGAGTTCGAGTCTTAACTGCGAATGACCATTCTAGGGATGGCTGGAAAGCGTGACCAGCACAAGCCACAAACTCACTTATGCTATATTGGCTATATTGGCCATATTGGCATTCGGAACTGCACTGTTTCCAAATTCAGAATAAACAAAGGTCAGCGATGAGGGGGCGAAGTTGGTGGGATAGAGTCCAAATAAGGCAATCAATACAACAATCGATTGATTTCACTGAGTCATCGCGGCAATTGTAGATTCGGAAACATTAGACTTGAAATTGGAGTCCATAAATGGGGAGATATGCATAGAGTTGTTGTGTCTTTTGTTGGTTGAAACTGTACTTCCTTAAAAAAATGCATTGCATCTTCTCCTGATCTGGTCACACTTGCCGTGCTTCTATTGACCACAAGGAATAGATGAATCTCGCAGACCGGTATTTAAAAGGCAAGGCCGCCATTTCCACCCACTTCCTATTATGAGTTTCCCACGCACGGGATGCGTGAGCGATGGCAACTGTCAACTTCTGTCAGTGCGCAAAAAAATAATAAAATAAAAAATAAAACCATAACAAACCCGAAACAAAGGAAACACACTACTTTTTCGAGCTTAAATATTGTGAATCGAAAAGCCAAATATGAAAAGCAAACAGTTTGTTGTCGTGTCAGCAACGTCAATGTGCCAAGTCCAAAAGCCTTAACAAAAACTCCAATAGTCCAAACCCCAAGTCGGTTCGAGATCTTGCAGTCACGTTTGCTTAATAAAATTAATATTTACATATGTTCCGTATTTACACACATACAACAAATGCTGCCCCAACCGAAAGTGGACAAATAGCCAAATAGACCGGCATGGCCAGGCAATTTGCACGATCCGCGTGGCGGAGAACCCCTCAAGTCCCCATCCGCGATCCTCATTTCCATCGCCAGTACGCATCATAATTCGTCCGTGATGATCTCTTTGTACGTTAAAGGGGCTTTCGTGATCCTTGATCTGTGATTCACTGGAGAAAACGAGTCGGGATTGCGGTAACTCGGTGACTCACTCATCGCCAAATTCCGATAAGGATCTCTTTCAAAAACGGAAGCGCGACGATCGTTAGCCAGTTGAGAAAGAATCTCTTCAACAGCAGTTACTTTATTTTAAGGATAGTTTATCTCCTCGGAAATTTATACGAATTCTAATACTGGACGAAATAAGTCCTTGAAGCA